CTTGATGGATGCTTCAGTGTTTTTCTGGTTGTTCATAGATACCTGCATCAACTGGTTCAGAGTATCCTCCAATTTGCTGGTTCTTTCATGCATAGAAGGATAAGCAAACTGATGTTGCTGTTGTTGTTGTTGTTGTGGGGGCCTATTGGATGGCCCAACTTCATTCCTCCATCCATATCCCTTGTTGTTATTGTTTCTCCAACCTTGATTCCCCTGCATATAATTATTAGTATTATAATTATGGGAATTAAAATTACCTCCTTCCGGTTGGTTACCCACATAGTTGACCTCTTCTTCATTTGAAGTTTCAGAACAATGACCATTGGGATGATCTCCCCCACAAAAATCACACTTTAAAGAAGAATGTGATTGAGTTGAAGAAGAAGCAATAGCATGAATCTGTTGTGGAATTTTGGCCATCTACTTAGTCAATGCTTCAATCTTTTGAGATAACAACTTGTTCTGTGCAAGGATTGCATCATTAGTACTGAGATCAAGAACTCCTCTTTTATGAGATTGGTGTCTCCCATGCTCTGCTTGGTGATCAGAAGATGCCAAAGATTCTATAATTTGAGTAGCTTCTTCTGGGCTCACAGTCATCATGGTGCCACCAGCTGCTGCATCTAATAACATTTTCACCTCAGGCTTGATTCCATTAACAAAGAAATTCAGTTGAGCTATATCTTCAAACCCATGGTTAGGACATTTTCTGAGCAATGAATTAAATCTTTCCCAGGCTTCACAAAATGGTTCATCTACACCTTGTCTGAAAGTAGTAATTTCTGACTTGGCCTTAATATACTTGGATGAAGGATAGAATCTATTCACAAACTTGTTTTCCACGTCACCCCAGCTTGTCGAACTTTGATTTGGGTGAGATTGTAACCATACTTTAGCTTTTCCTGTTAGAGAAAATGGAAACAACCTCAAATATACAGCTTCCTCATCACCTTCAGGTATTCCCATTGTTCCACATAACTCAGAAATTTGAAAGGTGTGAGTATGGGTCCTCATGATCAAGGCCAGCAAATTGTTGTGAGCTAACCAAAGTAAGGAAGCCAGGCTTCATCTCCATGGCTCTAGAAGTATTTGGAGCTGCAATGCTAGAGAAATGCCTAGGACCATGTTGTTGTGCATAATCACCTAGGGTCCTTCTAGGAGGCCTGGCTGGTCCATGTCCACCATTATGAGTGCTTGTACCTTCTTCGGCCATTTCTGTTTCAAGGTGTGGTTGATTTGATGAAGTAGAAGAACTTGGAAGATCTTGTTGTTTTTTTTTTAAGTCTCTCTAACTATTTACGCCTTCTTGTCCTACTATTATTTCTCCTAACCGTTCTTTCAATTTAAGGATCAAAATGCAATTCTTCGGCTGGAGTTTTCCCTCACATACAAATTTAAGAAGTCTGCATAGGAAGGTGAGTCCACAAAACACAACAAGACAAATATCTCTATATATTATAAGTATTCACAAAATAATTTACAAAATTACAAAATCACAAGACTAAGAATTACTAAATAGCACCAGGTCCTCGGTAACGGCGCCAGAAACTTGATGAGGTTTTTCGCAAACACACCACTTGGCAAGTGAACCAAGTTTCGAAGTAGTATTCAAATATCGTCCTCAGGGATTTGAGTGTTTAGTAATTCTTGCTCTAATGACTTAAATGAGAATGATGTTATGATTGCAACTGAGTGAAGATAGGGTAGAATCACACAATAAACTAAAAGTAGTAAAGACAATAGTTAAGAAACAAGGATTGGTTCAGAAGCACTTGCTAACTCATAGATCTTCTTAAAATACATGCGATTCTAATTCCATTATTTCCACGTTCATTAAATAATCCAACAAGATTCCTCAAGGTTGAATCCTAAAGTCATTAAGCTCAAAACATGATTCCTCTATGTTTTGAGTTTAACATTTTGCATTAAGACCAATGACTTGAACAATGTGACTAACCAAATCAAGTCTATTCCTAGAACAAGAAATGATTAGGTGCAAGATTCTGTTTCGAGTTTTCAAAAACGTTTTCCAACTGGATTCAAAAACCAAATATTCATACAACGGGTGATCAAGTCGATATAAGCATTAAGAGAAGAATCAATGCACAAATAATGAGATCAAAATGCATATATTTAAGAAGAAGAGGAGTTAGTAGTTACATCCAACCAATCCTTAATAAGTTTAGCCACACATGGCCATTACAAGATCTAAGAAGTAAAAGAAGAGATTACAAAGTTGGAGATGAAAACAAGGGGTTGGGCTTCGTTCCCAAATGACCCAGCTGCCCAAGTAGTAGTTCCTCCTCTGGTTCTCTCTTCAAGTCCTCCTTACTCTGTTCTTTCTCCTCTGTTCGTGATGTCCCCTTTCTTCAGATTTTTGCCCTTTTATATGAGCTTTAAAATAGGGGCAAAGAGTGATTTTTACTCCCACGGCTGCAGCTGTAGATCCACGGCTATAGCTGTGGAGAGTCCTTCAGGGTGAAGAAACCTCCAAAGCCATAACTGTGGTTCCACAACTATAGCTGTGACAACTCCTTCAAGCTTAAGGAACCTCCAGCGCTGCAACTGTGAAGCCACAATTATGGCTGGGGGTCTCTGGAGTTTTTGCTGGGTCCTGGGTACTCCATGGCTTTAGCTTTGAGTTCACAGCTTTAGCTTCAACTCTCTGGAGCTTCAAATTGTATTTCAGATTTCCACAGCTCGAGCTCCAGATCCACAGCTATAGCTTCAAGTCTCTGGAACAAAAAATGAGCATTCCAGATTTCCACAATTATAGCTGCAGAACCACAGCTATAGCTGCAAGTTTCTGACTTTCACAATTTCTCCCCAGATTTCCACAACTCGAGCTCCAGATCCACAGCTATGGCTATGGATCTCTGCCTTCCTAAAAAACCTGCAAAAAATGAGGAAATTCCTTAAGATTTTGCTACTACTCCTCTACTCTTTTAGTATAACTTGATTCTTTAAATAAAGGGGGGTAAAATAACATATCTAATATCTACAATTACCAAAAAGAGTACCAAAAGTTGAGTGCAAATCATGCATAAAAGACACTCAACAACCACGTTGTTTAAGTTGTAAGTTGATTGAGCTGTGATGATGAGATGTTGATCACTAGGACTAGAGGAGATGTTTTGAAGTTGCTCATCCCATTGTGTGGATGGAGATAGTTGTGGTGCTCTAAGAGCCCAATTTGTTGAAAAACTCTCACTGGGAAGTTGTCTCTTGGAGTGAACGTTGTGTTGTTCTCCTCTAAGACTTAGTTGATCCCGTGTGTGGGCAAGGTCGAGACACACGTGTATGAAGCGACCACAGTATAGGGCCAGGTCGAGCTATACCGATTACAAGCGACCAATTTGAGTAAAGTACGAAATCGGGAACTTAGTTCTTAACCAAGTATTGGAGGGTTGTAGTATTTGGAGGATAGTCGGTAGGCTAATCCCATAGGTGGCTTAGTTGAGCTAGCTAATGCTATGGTAGGCCTAAACCCAGCTGTTCTATCCTGACAGAGTACTATACTTCCTTGTTTAAGTGACAAAGTCTGAGAAACTGTTATCGTGTTGTGGATTGATATCCAAATTTGCTGTTTACCTAGCAAGCCCAAAAAGTTTCTGTGTTGTCGGTTCAGTAAGACCTAGTCACTTAGACTGCTCACCCATGTTGTAGGAGATCTCCGAGTTGAAATGTGTGACGACGCATAAGTTGTAGATGTATTGATCTTGTGTTGGTTGAGTTGTAAATATGTTGTTGTGTTGCAAAGATGTGATTGAGTTTTGTGATGCCATGTGTTGTATGTTGACCTTGTTGGGATTGATGATAATGCTGTTATGTTGAAAGTTGCTTATTTAAATATATGTTGATTCTTTTCACTAGCTTACCCTTGCATGTTTCCATGTGGTTTGGATTACTATGATCATACTATGTATGAGAGTAGAGCGATGATAGACTAGAGAGTTGCAATAGAGTAGCTGATGATGCTCGGAGTTGGATGTTAATTTTGTAGTCTCCCGATTGTGGGTAGACATTTTGTGTAGTTACTTGTAGATAGTTGCTAGACAAGCAACATAGTTATATATATATATATATATGTGGAACA